GAATTTTATTTTTAATTAAAATAAATTACATCAGTAATCTTTTTAATTTTTTTTAATTTGAAAATCACATACGTGATATATTTTATTTTTAATTAAAATAAATTTGATCCGTAATTGTTTTTAAATTTTTTTAGTTTGAAAAATCATTGACAGAATATATTTTAATTTTAATTAAAATAAATTTTATCAAAAATCTTTTTTAAATGTAAGTATTTTTTTTTTGTAAATGTAAGTACTTTTTTGTTTTATTTTATAGAACTAAATACTTTTTGGTTCAAAAAATGTTTAGAGACTTAATCGTTTAACATATGAATGTTCATTAGGTTTTTTTCAGACTTTTTTCATTAGTTTATCATATTAACCAGTTATAGATCATAAGAATGCATATAACATGTTTTATAAACTCCAAGGAGTTATTTAACATGTTTTGGAATGTTTCAAAGATTTATTTGTTCCAAAAAATTGTACAAGAACTTAATCGTTTCAAACACTAAAGTCCATTGGGTTTTTCAGACTTTTACCCTATTATAAATGTTATGGAATTTCCATTTTAAATTAATAATAATTTAGGATATTATAAATTTATTCATGTAATATATCAAAATATGTGTATATATTACATATACGCAGTTACCCACCCTTCTGTTCCATTCCTTGTTTCTCTTTGGACGATGTTCATCCATCGATGCCCCTCTTGTCCCACGTATGATGATAATAATGCGTGCAAGTATTTAAAATAAGCATAAAATAATGATGTAAGAATGATGTAAACATTAAGTCACTATGCTTGCCGGGACAAAATCTGTGGATGAAGCTCATCGTATTTGTAAATATCTTGGAAGATTGTTAATAAATGAATTTTAATTGGATTTTTTTTTATAAAAAACAGATACAGTGATTGTTAGCCTGCTGTTTTAATAAAAACAATGGTTTATTCGTATCAGAATTTTAGATATATGATTATTTAAGGTTGTTTACTGAAGTTTTCTGTTTTCTTGATGTGCAAAATTGATACAAAAAAGTAGGACCCTTAACATCCTCTTTTCTAAGAGAGGTCGATAGGATTTGTCCAAGGAGAATGAGTTAAATGCTAAAAAACAAGTCGACAGACCATTCAAGTACCATAGCATTGATAGATATCCAAGAGGACGTCCAACTCATTACGCTCCCAACAGAAGAACCAAGAGTCCGATAGAAACCCAAATTTTTGGTGTTAATAACCACGAACTAGAATTCCTACTCCTACATCAACGTGAAAAATATAGAGACATAACCATATAACACGTCACTTGTTCGTAATATACCTAAAAAACAAACACACACAGGGTTTCTTTTCAGATCTATATAATTTGTGAGATCCGTGAGATCCAATATAAACCATAAATCATATTATATTAACGGTAAATTAGGAAATTATTCATTTTTGGTATTTTATAATACAGAATTTAAATAAAAGGTCTTGTGGGTATTTTAAATTTTTTCTCTCTTCTCTCATTAAAAGCGTTACCTAACAAAATCAAATTAAATCTAACAAATAACTTAACAAATTATAAGCGTAGAACGTGTGATATACATTGCAACCAGATAAAACCGAGCAATTTGACTTTGCTTTACTTATGTGACTTATGAGCTGTGTGATACAATGTCAAAGTGAGTAAATATTGTTTCATCTTAACTATTTGTTATAATATCAAAATGAGTTTTGCTTTTGTGGTTTTTGGTTCCTGACGTTAAATGCTGGTAGCAAACGTTCAATTGATAGTTATACATATATTAAGCACCCAAATAGATTGAAGACTCGTTGTCCTCTTTAGATTAAGAGAAGCAGGTGCTAATGTTTCTTATCCAAGTTAAGAACAAGAGGCCAAACAAAACAGTGCGTATTTTGTTCTCATAAACAAACACAACGTTATTTCATGTTTTAAACATGTGTGATACTCGGTTGGTGAAAAGAAAACGAAAATTGATATGAAGCTTAAAAGAAGTAAACATACACATAATAAATGCTTGGATGCAGGTGTAAATTAGGCACATGTCTTCCATTACGTTTTTGGTATTTCAGTATCGTTCTGAGTTGAATCAATTGCAACGGAAATAACAGTAGATCTATTGTACAATCATTATGAGGAATAAATTTAGATATAAATGATAATCACTTCACCTTCACTGAGTATGGTAAAGTTCATACCCATCACTTTTATTGATCATCGACATTATATTTCACTGTATTGATTGAGGGTTGCAAGTTTTTGTATTCAAAATTGTTATGCATCACTATGTATCACTCTAGTATACAATTATTTCTAATCAAAATAACTAATACAAATTAGTAATATGGAACTAAAGGACGGGTTGAAAAACAATTTGACAACTGTTGGCAATATATGTCAGGTTATTTATATAAAGGGATGTTCAAACGAGAACAATAACCAAATAAGAGAACACAGAAACGGACAATTCACACTAACGGTCAATGTCAAGGTGTGCGGATGAAGTCCTTGAATCACAATGTAAAATCACATGTAATTCGACTGTTTTCTTATATGGTCATTATTCTCGTATGAACCTGACTGTCTCTGTATAAAACTAATATGATTATAGATATATAAATACTTAGATTATTGATTTCTTTATTAAAATGAATTCATTAAAACCCTTAAAAATACAATTTTCAGAAGAAAAAAACATCATTTTACCCATAAAAGTTTTTTTTTTATTAATCTAAATATTCAATCTGCTATGCAAATCGACTAATTTCAAAATGATCACCTGCTCTACGTATAACTCGGAGTCACCGGGTGAAGCATTGAATTAACTATAACAATAATTATGTTCCAGATCGTGATGGGGTCCTTAATCTCTCTCATCATCCTGGTAAAAAAGGTTTCTTTTGACCACCACCATCTTCTTCCCATTTACTTCACATTTTCTTGATTTTTTCCCTTTCATGTGTATTTAAATAACCAACCTCTTGAATTAATCCAACATTGATTCCTACTAAAACCCTTTCAAATATTCAGTTTTGTTGACTTACAAAATATGGGTGCCTGTTTGTCAACCACCAAGATCAGTGGTTCCAACAGCAACACCCACTCCACCACCGCCGGAAAACAGACCCACCACCGCCGGCCACCAACAGCCACCGGCAAGCAAGTGGAAGGTGGGTCCAATGTCACTTCCCATCAAACCAAAGAGATCCAACAAAAACAGAGCACCCAACAGCAAAAAAGGAAAGATAAACATACTTCAAGAAATGGTGTGATTCCTTGTGGGAAAAGAACAGATTTTGGTTATCTTAAGGACTTCGATACTTGCTATTCGACTGGAAAATTGTTGGGTCATGGTCAGTTTGGGTATACATATGTTGCTGTAGATAAGGTTAATGGCGATCGTGTTGCTGTCAAGAAAATTGACAAAAATAAGGTAATCTTCCTTTTTTTTTGCTTTAGATTTTCAAGAATATCTTGTCTTCTTTCTTGAGGTGACTTCAGTTGACCTAATTTTCGTTTGATTATATTTCTAACCATAATGTAAGCTGCTGTTTATTCTAAATCATTCATGGGTATGATCCAAAGATTATGATCTGATTGAATTCCATTTTAGGGTTTATCATTAATCTGTTGACCCTTTTCTGAGTTCTTGATTTCTTTTATAGTTCATTACTAATGGTTACCCTTTTAGATCATGTGATTAAGGATGCATAAGGTTATGTTTTCATGATCCAAATTGTATATCTTCACCTTAATAATTCTATTGTTGTTCATGACTTCTGCAAGATACAGCAGTTGACCAATTGGTTGACTCATACTTTTCTTGGTATCCAAGTTTGATATCTAATTTTTGCCCAATAATTACAAAGATATCGCGGTAATCATGGCTACAGGCTGTTCAAGATTCAATCTCTTTTGTATTTCTAGCAGGCATATGTTCTGTTTTTCGGTTTGCTGTATTGTTACTAAGATACTATTTGATGTCACCAACAGATTGATGTAGTTGGTTAGTATGGAATCAACCATTTTGAGACGTTTTTTTGCCTTTTTCAACAGATGATTCTTCCGATTGCTGTGGAAGATGTTAAAAGAGAAGTCAAGATATTGCAAGCCTTAAGCGGTCACGAAAATGTGGTTCAGTTTCATAATGCATATGAAGATGCATCCTATGTGTACATAGTTATGGAGTACGTTCGATAACATCTTTTAAGTACTTTGATTTAGAAAATCAAGAAAGATCGATACTCTTGAGAATTCCAACTTCAGTTTTGCAACTTGGTTCTTCAAACTGTGCCAATTTGCCGGAAACTTGACTTAACGTGTACCCTTTTCAGGTTATGTGAGGGCGGTGAGTTGTTGGACCGGATTTTGGGAAAGTAAGAACTCCCATCTCATAGATAGATGTTGACTTTTGTGGTCAAACCTATTAGTTTCTAAATTCAGTATAAAAATTGAGATATTGCAATGAATTCGATACCTATATGTTTCTATTAGTAGTAATTCTTGTAAGATTTAAGTAGTTATCCAAATTTGCTTAGAAAATCTAGGCCCTTTTGTTAATCTTCTAGCTGCATACTATCCCTTTTGACCAGAAAAGTCAAACCACGCTTCGGTTTGTAAGTATGGTTCTACAACTTACCATCGGTTTCTCGTATCCAGGAAAGATAGTCGTTACTCAGAGAAAGATGCAGCAATCGTTGTTAGGCAAATGCTTAAAGTTGCCGCAGAATGCCATTTACACGGTTTGGTACATCGTGACATGAAACCAGAGGTATGAAAACATACAGTCGATCATCCGATCCAATGGTGATGCTAACCAGTTCCCAATTTTGTATTTGTATAGAACTTTCTTTTCAAGTCGAAAAAAGGCGATTCACACTTAAAGGCTACGGATTTTGGTCTATCTGACTTTATAAGGCCGGGTAAGTGTAATATCTTGTCGCGACTTCAAATAAAGTTTTTAGCTTTTCGATCCGTCATACATGCTTTTTTGTTACTTACAAATGAGGATTAACATTGACACTGAACTTTTCAAGAATGAGCGATTTTGGACAAAGTTCCAAGTAGAATGGTTGATTTTGCATTACATTCCCACAAGCTATTGAAAACCACCCGTTTTTGTTAGCAGCTTAATGAGACTCACAGCTTATTCAGTCGGCTTTTTTGGTAGTGACTTAATGATATAGAAAGTGACTTATTCAATATGCTTTTAGAGGGAAACTTTATGCAGAAAGTCAAGTTTTTTTTTTTGAAACCTGCCCCCTCCAATTAAAGAACACGCTCCCTCCATCTATGAAAAAACCATCCCAACCTATATAGACAAATTAATCCACACAGATATCTTTATCCATACAGGACTTGATGAAAAACCAACCAGATAATGTTATCCTTTGGGGTAGAGGACAAGTCTGCATATATCTCACCACCTGACCTTGCTCTCGAGCATGATATATTGTTAATCTTGCATTTACATTTCCGCAATTGATTGAAAACCACTCATTCTTGCAAGATGCTGCAATATCCCAAACATTGGGGTAGAGGACAGCTGGACAGGTCTGCATACATCTCACTGCCTAACCCTGCTCTCGAGCGGGAAATACGGGGATCATTTGGTTTGGTTTATTTACTTATTCTTACAAGATGTATTGTTTTATCTATGGAGATCTTATGTTTTTGACTTTTTGGACATCGTTATAGGAAAGAAGTTCACCGATATTGTTGGCAGCGCGTATTATGTTGCTCCGGAAGTATTGAAGCGTAAATCAGGGCCCGAATCAGATGTTTGGAGCATAGGCGTTATCACATATATTCTACTCTGTGGTCGTCGTCCCTTTTGGGATAAAACGGAAGATGGCATTTTTAAAGAGGTACTCCCTCCCTCCCAAAAATAAGCGTCCATGTTTCTACTTTAGTTCATCCCAAAATAAGTGTCCACTTTCAAAAGTAAATGCATACTATCCAATTTTACCCTTAATTATGAAACAGAGAAGTTTATACTCACTCTATTATTACGGGTACAATTGTCATTTGCCATTAAAAAATGTAATAAATACGCATTTCCAAAATCGCCTTTTTTCCATTGTCGACATTTATGTTGTATTTTATAGAATGTATGTACAATTTGTGATGTACGAGATCTTTATGAATTGATAGGTCTTGAGAAACAAACCTGATTTCCGACGCAAACCATGGCCAACGATTAGTGCTAGCGCCAAAGATTTTGTAAAGAAATTGCTCGTGAAAGATCCTCGTACAAGATTTACCGCCGCTCAAGCCCTATGTATGCTTTCTCTTCTTGTTCTTGTTTATCTATGACCAAGAAATGGTTGGTTTAAGTCGTAATGCTTTTGGTACGTGGGCGGAACAAAATTTTTGAAGATGGGACAAGATTGGTAAATTACTAAACTACCCATGTCAAATTAAATCGCTAAAACTTTCCACAATTCTTTCACCTGCCACCCTTGCTCGTTCAGTCCCCTCCACGTACCAAACGCACCCTTGGCGCACCGAGACCGTCTTTTTTTTGATCTTGTTTGTAAATTTTCTTCTTTAATGTCAATTTTTATAATTGAACTTTGTTGTCATATACATGTTATAAGCTGATGTATGAGTATATGTTCGAATTTTATAGCACACCCGTGGGTTCGAGAAGGTGGAAATGCTTCTGAAATTCCTCTCGACATTTCTGTTCTATCCAACATGCGGCAATTTGTGAAATACAGTCGCCTAAAGCAATTTGCTCTACGGGTAAGTATTTATTTTGTAATGTAGAAGTGATCCCAAATGTTTTCTTCTGAGGCTCGATATTCTTGTGTAGGCGTTGGCTAGCACGCTTGATGAAGAAGAGCTCTCGGATCTAAAAGATCAATTTCACGCGATTGATGTAGATAAAAGTGGTGCTATTAGTCTCGAGGAAATGAGAGAGGTATGTTTACTTCGTGTATCGATATCTTTGGTTTAAAGGATTTATCCCGTTTGACCCTGGTGCACCATGGCTCCTCGGTTATGTTTCAAGTATACAGGTTCGTGGTTCTGAAAAATAGCTTCGTTTTGTGGCAGGCCCTTGCTAAAGACCTTCCGTGGAAGATGAAAGAATCGCGTGTTTCGGAGATTTTAGAAGCTGTAAGCTTGTGCTTTTTGGATATGATAGTGTCGGAGTTTCGTTCGTTTGACCCCAAAAGTTAAAACTTTTTATGCCTACGACAGCTATGTTTGACAAACTAACTAATAAACTAGTCATATTTAGTAAAACCTAACGTTGACTGAAAAGGAAATGTTAGACAAATTAATTCGAAAGATACAAGGGGCATAATTGGAAAAAGTGGGAAGAAGAACCTCTTGAGCTTATTCAATAAGCTCAAACGGGCTTTTTTAATAAGCTCAAAAAATAAGCTAGCTTAAGTTGACAAACTTGGCCGACTTCTCTTAAACCCTTGGTCGTGATCTTGATGAGTCCTATATCTCTGTGACGCAGATCGATAGTAACACGGATGGGCTTGTTGATTTCACGGAGTTCGTTGCAGCCACTCTCCACGTTCAACAGATGGAGGAACACGATACCGAAAAATGGCAACATTTATCACAGGATGCATTTGAGAAATTTGACGTCGATAAGGACGGGTTCATAACTCCAGAAGAACTCAGAATGGTAAGCCATCGCTTTTCGGTTTTATAAGTCCCAAAAAACTCGAGATTTGGACTTGAAAACACCCTTTTTAATTGGGTTTTTGCAGCATACTGGATTGAAGGGTTCAATTGATCCACTTCTGGAAGAAGCCGATATCGACAAAGATGGTAAGATCAGCTTGGCGGAGTTCCGTAGGCTCTTAAGAACTGCAAGCATGGGTTCACGGATGATCACGTAGACAATTTCACTGCAAACAATGCCGTAAAAGGGTGGTCAATAAAAGTCAACGAGTTCGGGTTTTTCACGCTTTTTGTGCACGATCTTTTTATGCTCGTATAGTTTTCTTTCGGTTGTTTCAACCACTAATGTTTTTGGTTGAGATCATGTATAGTATCTGTTCTTACCAGTTTCTAATAGCGTGAGACTTGGATTAATGTTTTTTTCCGTTTAACTTGTTACGGGTTGGAAAATGTTTGTACAGTTTGTGTAAAAAGGGTTTGTAACCGGTAATCCTTGAGTTGACACTGTCATGTCCTAAGAGTATCATGTAAGAGGCAAATTAGATACAAGACGGTGTATGTATAGTTGTACGAATTGCTAAACGTTTGATTGCATGATGTTATTATGAATGGTACGATATATACGCTACGATCTGCAAAATTATCAATGCTCTGGATCGGTCTTGGGTTTATGTGTAAGCGGTCATTTCGGTTAAACGGATATGGTTTCAATGTAATTTTAACGATTTTGTTTTTAACCAATTTATGCAATTTATCTGTATAACATATTATCAGTAAAACATAACAAAAATTAACTCGTTTTGTCAAACTTACAGACATTTAGATGAACAAATAAACTCTGCTAAATTGGTTTATTCTTTGAGATTGTTAAAAAGCTCTATTTAAAGTCATAAATTAGTTTTTTTGAAAAACTACAGTATTTTCTGATCAGTTATCATTTAATTTTTGGACAAATTACATGAAAAAGTAACGTACTTTAACTTGATTCTTATTTTGAGTAAACTTTCATTTTGGTACCTAAGATGTAAAGTTTTAAACATTTAAGTGTCCGAGTAACCGGTTGAAGCATTAACCGGTTATAATGCTGATGTAGCGAGTGATGTAGTATCCAACGCGGTTTGTTTGTTGACGTGGTTGGTGACATGAATTTTTTTTAATCTAAAATTAGTTTTCAACCGATTACCTAGGTGCCTACATATTTAAAATTTTACATCTTAGGTACCTAAATGTAAGTTTTAAGAGTACCTTAACCAAAATATAAATCAAATTAAGGTACGTTATTTTTTATACAATTTGTCCTTTAATTTTTTATTAAACTTAACCAATTTATTAATAAATAAATAATTTATCATTTAACAACTAATAAATAAAGATTGAAAAATGAGAGGATGAAAACGATGGAATGGTGTCGGTGTAAAATAAGTTAGAAGAACGAGTGAGGTTTTTACCTTTTCAAAATCCCAAAACGGCATCGTCCAATTAAAAAAAATCGTGGGGAGATGACATCGACCCGACCTTTCGGGTAAGCCCCAACCCCGACCCAACGATAGCCCCAAAACCCCATTAATTATTTAATCATTTTTATATAGTTTATTTTATACTTTTTTAAATACAAAACTTCTATTTCGAAATTTGATGAGTAGTGGTTAAAATTAGGGGTCGTTTACTAAATATTTACCCAGTAAATATTTACTGGGTAATTTTTCTCACTGGATAAACATTGTAAGAGTCAAGAATTTTACCCAGTAAGAACGATGATAAGGATGGAGAGTTTTACTCGGTAGGTGATGGTGACGATTCTTACTAGGGTAAACGCTAACCAGGTAAATTGTTGCATATGATACGTTTTGATGTAATACAATCTTATTTGATAAAATAATTATAGTGTTGACTTTTACTGTGAGCAATTACCGGGTAAACATTTAGGTAAACGACCCCTTAGTTCAGGGACGGACCCAGAATTTTTTTTATACGGTGGCACCATTTGACCATAAGAAAAAAAATATATGAATTTTTTTTTTCAAACGATGACACCGTTTGACTATAAGAAACAAATATACGGAAATTTTTTTCAAACGGTGGCACCGTTTGACTAAGAAAATGACACTAATATGATTCGGACTTGGGTGTGGGGTGGAATAAAAGCCTCGCCGAAAAGCATCTTTCAACCGTAGCAGTTGCAACAAACAAAACCAGTGTTAGTTTCAATAACCGATAGACTAAATGATGAGAAAGATGCTTTGTTGTTGCCACAAATGCATGTATCTCATGATTCCCACATTGGTCTCTGAACAAGTAATCATTAATCAGTAATCAGTAATGAGTAATATAAATAAGTAAATCTAATCAACTTATCAACATATGAAACCTAAACATCGTAAACAGTAAACAAAAAAGAATGATCAATTTGTATAACCTAAACAATTAATCAAGTAACATTTGTATAACCTAAACAATTAATCAAGTAAATAGTAAATAATCAACTAAACAGTAAACAGAAAAGAATGATCAATTTGTATAACTTAAACCTAAATCAAATAAGGTCACAGATTTGGGGCTTTACCAGTTTACCGCTTTAGTTAATGCCTTAATGGACCATTAGATTTAGGGCTTTAGTAGTTTAGTTAATGGACCATTAGATTTGGGGCTTTAGTTAATGGACCATTAGATTTAGAGCTTTAGTTAATGGACHATTAGATTTTATTTGGGCTTATTTTTGCATTTTATTTGGGCTTTACTTGCACTCTTAGAATTTGGGGAAAAATACGGTAGCACCTTCCGAAACGATACGGTAGCACTGTTTTATTTGGGCTTTAGTTGCACTCATAGAATTTGGGAAATTATACGGTAGCACCTTCCGAAACGATACGGTAGCACTGTTAACAAAACTAAAAATTTTACCCTTCGGAGACGAAATAATACGGTGGCACGTGCCACCCATGGCGACACACTAGGTCCGCCCATGCCTTAGTTTACATTTGATTATTGCATATGTTTTTTCATATTAGTTCGATGGAATATTGTGTTTTAATTATTTAGATTTAATAATAAATAGCAAGAACTAGCGAATCGAATAAGTTACAAGTTATTAAATCAAAAGAATCAAATAATCCATTAATTATTTGGAAAATGAACTTGAAACACCAAAGGTTACAAGAAGTCTTAATATTCAAGGGAGTAACATGTTGAATTTTTAAGACAAATGAAGCAAAATATTCTAAAACAGTGACCAATTACGTTAAATATGAAACCGAGAAGTTCAAGGGTAAATTAGTCATTAATTGAGAATTGTGGTCTTTGTAGTACTAATGCTTGTTATAATTGTCGTGTTTGATCAACCAGTAATTGCTCAATTCTAAGTGTAAGAAGAGATCTGAGCATTTGATCACCTTTAATTTCAAACCCACTCCTGAATCGCGCTTAATTAATATGGGATTGATTCAGAGCATCTGGGTACATCATCATAATCTGCATCCAAGAGTTGAGATCATTTCTTACGTTTCTCACTTTACCTTTCTTTTTCACCGGAACCCAATCCTATATATGATTTCAAAACATTTACAAGATGCATTGCATGCTCTGTGCTACATGTTTTTTAACTGTTTAACATGTCAAATGTATTTTGATGTCACGTGAAAGTTTCTTATGAAGAGAACCTATTTTTATAGGTTTGTTGGAGCATATATAAGTTGGGATGCATCATGCATGTAAATCAGAAAGTGGACAAACCGAGTTTGTTAAGGATGAATACATGTTACAAGGTACCTTTTGTACTGTACCAGATCAATAAATTAGACGTCACACATTATACTAGACAGTTAACAAGATCTCATGATACAACTAATTATTTAAATTCGATTTCACGCATTTGAATTTGGCAAATACAACGATGACAAGTACGCTAATTTAGACTTAGGAATTGTCCTAGCTATTTTGACATTATTTTAAGTTCCAAACTGTTTTACAATTATTGAGATGTATAGCGTTATTCAGTGATCGTTGAATTAATATTTAATAAGATGTCACAGTCACAGTCTATGTGAAATACAGATGGTGACAAAAGACAAAAGTTGTTTATAAAAAGTTATATATACGAAAAAGAAGGTCAAATGCTATCGTAATTTATATCTGTTCATCTCTTAGCATGTTATTACAATAGTAATTGACGACAAAACAAAATATAAAACTTTTATTTATATGACTAAGATTTGATATTTTTCCAAAGTATTGGGGTCTAAGTGATAATTTCCCCTATATAAAACTCTTCGATCTTCATGTGAGCCAAAACGGTTATGAGAACGATCCTCTGTATTACCACCATCACCGGAAAATCTTAAATCCTAATTCAATCCCACCACCGGCCACCGCTACAACCACCATTAACGTCACCATTTCATTCCACAACCATGGCGAAACTTCGATTCTCTCTCGCTCTTTTCACTACGTTTCTCATATCGTTATTTAATCCCAATCAATCATCAACATTCACACTCACTAATCAGTGCAACTATCCAGTTTGGGCCGGTCTTCTCTCCGGTGCCGGCACTCCTCCACTACCCACCACCGGCTTCCCTCTCCAACCCAGCCAATCAAATTCCATTTCCGTCCCTACCAGCTGGTCCGGCCGCATGTGGGGTCGCACCCTTTGCTCCACCGATTCTACCGGCAAATTCTCCTGCGTCACCGGCGACTGTGGATCCGGAACCATCGAATGCAACGGCGGTGGCGCCGCACCTCCTGCCACCTTGGCGGAATTCACACTTAACGGAGCAAACGGGATGGATTTCTACGACGTCAGCCTTGTTGACGGATACAACCTTCCCATGATGGTGGTACCACAAGGCGGAGCAGGCGGAAACTGTAATGTCACCGGATGTTTTGCCGATTTGAACAAGGACTGTCCATCGGCACTCCGGCTGACGGGCGCCGGCGGCGATGGTGATGAATCTGTCGCCTGTAGAAGCGCATGTGAAGCATTCGGAGATCCGATGTACTGCTGTAGTGGCGCGTACTCGACTCCACAAAGCTGTTCTCCGACGTCGTATTCGGAGTATTTCAAAAACGCGTGCCCGACGGCGTACAGTTATGCTTACGACGACGGAACCAGCACGTTTACTTGTTCCTCCGCCAACTACGTCATCACTTTCTGCCCTACTCCGGCGAACAGGTAGATTTTACTGTTTTACCCTTTTCTTTTATTTTATTTTTATCATTTAGCACAAAATGGTCATTTTTGTCAGTTTCATGTCTTTTTCTGTCATACAAACTACGATGCGATCGGGTTCTCATTTCGCCAGGCTTTTAATTTAAATTATTTCCTTTAACCCCTGTTTTATGTAAAATTGACTTTTTACTCCCCTGTAATTATACTAAATTAACTTAACTCCCTTGTATGTTTAAGAAATACCTATTTTGAAAAAAACTATAGATTTGGTTCCTTTTTGTTTGTCAATATAACATTTTACATCCCGATAGTTTTGAAATATACAAAATTGTAATTTAAATTTGATAAAATGACAAAATTACCCCTAATTTAACGAAATTTATGATAATTATTAATAATGGAGATTACATATAGACAGTCTCTACAAACCACATGGTTAACCAAATTTCTAGATTACTCTTTTAAGTTTAAGACAAATTAAATGAGAAAGTAACGTATTTTAAATTGATTCATATTTTGGATAATGTACTTTTCAAACTTTCATTTTGGTATTTAAGATATAAAGTTTTAAACATTTAAGTATTTGGATAACTGGTTGAAGCATTAACCGGTTACCATGTTGATGTGGCGAGTGATGTGGTATCCGATTAATGTTTCAGTAAATAATACTAAATTGAATATCACTCGTCACATTAGCATGGTATACGGTTAATGCTTTAACTAGTTATTCGGGTATTTAAATGTTTAAAATTTTACATCCAAAATTTAAACTTGTATTTTCTGTATTTATTTGTTTTTTATAATTTTGTATTCTTAATAATATTTGAACATTAAAATATTAAATATATGGATGCATGTGCAAGTCGACAGTCGGTGTGACTGCCGACTGAAAAATCGAAATTGAGTAATATTAAAATAAAATAAAATAAAATAAAATAGAAACATAATGCCGCCCACGCAACCATGTTGTGGTTTCCAATTATTTATTTATTATTTTCATATTTTTTCGAGTTTCGATATTCTGAATTTATTAAATTGCGTGCAGCCGAAAAACGACTGGAGCCGGCCAATCGGAAGCCAATAGCGGCGGCATTTCATTGGCTAAAGCTTTCAGCATTTCTTCCGTTATTGTTGCTGCTTTCATATTGACGCCGGCTTGGCGGTTATAGTATTAGCGGGGACGTTTTTACTGATATACCCCTGTTTTTTTTATTTTTTATAGCCGGCTTCATTTCGCCTAAGCCGACTAGAGCTCTTAAAATTTGCCTATTTTTCGAATGTTTGTAACCAATTGTAAATTTTAGAGTTTGGTTAGAATTATGGATATGTTGTTTTTTATGAATGTTAGTTTTATTTTCACATGGTTTTTTTGACAATTTATAAATCATGATTTATTGGTTAAAAACAGGTTATATTATATACTATGATAATTGTAAGAATTTTTTATTTTAAGATATTGCTTTACATGATGTTTTTTCATTTAAGACTAAAATTTAATATATTGGTTAACATATATTTGTTTTATATGTATTCGATTCATAATGTATATTTTTTTCATGTGTAATGTTTGTTTCCAAAACAGACCAAAAACATTCACATTGTAAAACAGATACATATGAAACAAACATATATTAATCAATATTCTAAATTGTAATCTTAGATGAAAAAAAATCATATGAAATAACATATTATGCATTAATACTAAAGGTTATCTTTTATTGTACGAGTTTTCAAAAAAAAAAAAATATATATATATATATATATATTTATTTGTATGAAACATAATGTTTGAAACCAACTCATTTGGATTTATGATTAAAAGTAAACAACTTTGAATTTGTCTTGTAACATCAATTATGAAATATTATAATTTTAATGGTACAAAATATTATAATACATCATGATTAAGGGGCCGTTTACCAAACACTTATCCGGTAAGTGCTTACCAGTAAAATTTAACATTATTATTTACTTACTGGGTAAGATTTTAGTCCATCAAAACGACATTGTATGCAATAATTCACCTGGTAAGCGCTTACCGTGGTAAAAATCGTCGCCCTCACTTACCGAGTAAGACTCATGGTCCTTGTCTCGCTCTTATCGGGTAAGATTCTTAGTTCTTACCATATTCATCCGGTGAGGTAATGTGACTTGGTAAATGCTTATCCAGGTAAATGTTCGGTAAACGGCCCCTAAGTAGTGTATCATGAATCATGATTCATGCTGAGTTGATCTTGGTATACATTTCTTTCTTTACGTTTAATTATTTATAGAACACGTCAAAGTTGATCATATGAATGAAACTAATTTGGTTAAAAACAATTAATTCTTTTGATACTGATATCTGAAATTAATGATAAGATTATATACTTTTAATGGGATGGCATTCGGGAATAAATGTTACATTTTTTTTTTGAAATGACGAGTTCTGTCCAAATCCAACGTTGATTATATCATACCGATTCAATATCATTATTTTACCTTTCCATTTTTTAGTATTGGAGAAGAGGGGAAATATAATGTCAAAGAAACAGGATTTGACAAATATAATGTCATTTTCATGACTTTTATCTTTGATAATTCTATGCTTTATTATTTAACATGGATGCATTATTGCACGATTAACACCTAATGTAATAGCATGTGGGGCACTTAACAAAAGAAATCCAATGCCCGTGAACAAAACCTAATGCCAAAATGACTAAAACGCCTTCACGTGACTAACACATGAGTCACTTAATTTACGAAACAACGCCCATTACGACAAGAGACGAAAATCTTAACAGTATCCAAAAGTCGAGCGACGAAAACCAAAGCATCCGTAAACGACACAGACGATTGTTGTAATTTACTCGTTAAATGATTACGATCATAAATATCTTATTCAAATCGTTATAAATAAATAAACACATAAATTTAAACCAAAATCAGCTTTTCAACAACTTTCCATCTTGCATACACAGAGAATGTGTCACCATGGCAAGAAAATGAAGAACATGCCCAAGAAACTTCTAAAAGTTCGTAAACAAAATACTTTAAAAAACGGATAAAAGGGGGATTACGTATACTTTTAACCTAAATATGCAAATAAAAAAGTAAGGGTTAGGACTTTATCCAACATGGTCCTAACCTATTTGGATATTATTTGGTGACATATAATTTAACCATATAAGATTTGAAGTATATAATTGAAAAAGGCAACACAACAACCACCATTAATTTCAAGTGTAAGGCAACAATAAGACATCATTCATGTGGATATTGTTGGGCTTTTTGCATCCTTGTTTTCATAACTCACATGGAGCTTAACATCACAACACTTTAAAATAATCATCTCTAATTATAAAATAATGGATATTGAATATTTGTTGTTTGAATCTTGTCGGTATTTTGAAACGGTATAACGAAGTATAGCAGTTACCGATATCACTTATAGAAAAAACGAAGTTTATTGTAACTATCTCATAAGATAATCTGAAGGATAAACTTGGCCAATTAAGACCATTAAGCGAATCACTGATAGAAGAGATGAATAAACCAATGCATACATGAAGACAGATCGGATGATGAAACTAGTTTTAGGGTTTTCAAAAGATCGATCTTTCTTCAGTGTTTTTGTTTATGTAATTATAAACCTCAAAGAACTGATATTAACTATGCTAAGATAGTAATCTGGTAAAATGTGCTCTTGTGGGATTTTTATTGATACGATGGTTGTTTTGATACAAACTGTCAACAACAACAAGATTTATCTTTGTTATCTCTAAGATTATCATATGTTCTTACAACATTTTCAACAAATTCTCCAAAAAAGAAAAAATAGAGATTTTGAGCTAACTTTTGGGTCTCACAAATTCTAAAAAGATAAAGTAGAAAAGCTATGATAAAATTCCCCAAATTTGAAATCGAATAAACAAAAAACCCGTAATGTCATCCTATCTCACCTTTAAAATAGTTTTTAGTGGGCATATAACGAATTATTATACAAGATTTATATAGCATACATTTACAATATGTATGTTCTAATAACAATTTATACACAAATGCATACACACCCAACGTGTGAAACAACATATGATACATTCGTTCCAACCTTTATGAAGAAAACTATGGAAACCAGCTATTTATGAATTATTCATAGATATCGTGATAAAATTCATAACAGATGATATTCATGAATATTGAAGTATATTCATCATGAATAATCCGAGTTGTAACAGAAGTAAACCGAAGAATTTACGAACCCAAACAAATGCATTACGAAGCAATGGACAGCAGCCTGTGTCTATTATTGATGAATAAATTATAAAATGCAGCAGCAAGAATAACTAGAAGTGACTACTGGTACACTCAAAAGTATTATAGATGAAAGTAAAAATAAATATAGAGCATATGATGTTTTAAAGTGTAATTCTCACCAATAACGGATAGCAGTGATCCTTCTCATAGTTAGGCCACGAGGCATCGCTGTTGATAAACCTCTCATGACGCCTCCAAACCTCTGTGTCGTAAACCTCATCTATTGTGAACTGCAGGCCACTCTCTTTGACCTCCGTTAGGAACTCGTCCAATGACTTGCCTCTTTTAGGGCCGAAAAGTATGGCTTCCGAAGGACCTTCCTTCTTCAACAAGCATTTTATGGTCTGAACAAGACCTTTGTGGAATTCTTTGAAGAAAGTGCTGCAAAATGACCACAAAGTTAAAGATTATACCAAAAGCCCTTTGACCCAGCGGTATTAGAGCCTTCGGCCTCCTAGGAGATCAGGTTCAAACCTCACCAAAGGTGAGGAGGATGTGTGAGTTTATTTGTTGCATTTGCCGTATAAAAATATTATATACTTCAAAAAAAATTAAAAATTATATTACAAAAGGGTCATTGGCCCAATGGCAGGTTACCAGTAGAGCCTAGCTGCCTTTGAGGTCAAGGGTTTAATGTTTAAACAAGTGTGTGTGAGTATTTGCCGTATATAAGTATTATATACTTCAAAAAAGGGTTGAGATTATATTAGCAAGTCTCAGATCACAATAGAGAAAAAAGTTGTGAAAAGCATGGTGACGAGTGTTTCCATTTGTTACAAAAGTTATTTACAAGTTCTTTGACATCTAGAGATCTCCAGCTCATTGAAGATCAAGTGCATAACAAACTTTGGTACAAACGCCTCATCAAGTCAATGATGGAAAACAAGGAGGAGGGCAAAACTGTAATTATCACTAACATAGATGGAAAGGTTGAATTTTTTAGGTGGGGTTATAGAAAGAACCATTTACGAGCATAAGAATGACTTCTGTAATTATGACATGATTAGAACATCCAGAAGACACTTGAAATGAAAACACAACGGAGGGAAAAAAAAAGTCAAATTTGTAAAGTTTACCAGTCACTTGCAACAATGATATCGAAGCGGTTGGAGATATCCAAGGCTTCCTGATTCCAATGCAGCATCATGCTCGTCACTTTTGTACCACCAAAAACACTGGAGTTTACATTTATGTTACGCTGAATATCTAAATGTTAAGCATCTCCAATTCGAAGCAAAACGAAAGGTCTTAAGTGCATTTGGTCAAGCAGAATATTACAAACAGGAAGACACAAAACCACTAAAGCTTCTCCTTTGAATACTTCTAACATGAATTTGAAGAGTGCACAATGCTAAATTTTCAAAGAACAATGAAGATCCACTTGAAGCCATACCATGAGATGTGTTTCAAATATCTAGAACCACAATTACCCTGCTTACACATGCACCTACCTGTAACAACACCCCATATTTTTGCATGAGCTACAAAATTGAAGACTTGTCATGTCAAACCAAACGAAACAAACCCAGTATATTCCACCCAAAGATAGGGCCGCCCTCCCCCGCCCAGGGGGGGATGGGATGTACTCTATCTGACCTCTACCTCAAAGAGTAGAGCGGTTGTTTCTGTGAAGATCCCCGGCTTGTGCTAAGTGTGCGAAAAGAAAGGAGAATACTTGCTCAAAAAATTTGCTGAGAAAGAACATACGAAGAACTCAAAAAAATAAGGAAGGCATTGCTAAAATGTGAAAACATGTTTATGAAAGGGATAACCATAAAAAGGATCACTTCTTGGAAGGCCATAAGAGTTCTCTGTGTTTGTGAATCCATGTTTCACTTCTGTAAAGTTTGAAGTTTAGTTGTGTTTCTCAATGTTTTTTGATAGAACTGTATATGTTAAGCAACAAGGTTAACAGTACGTCACCACCTAAGCACTTTTCTAGCTACAACTTGTAAGCTACTTGCAAAACCAACTCCTGCCACATGTAGTATTAGACACAGTTAAGGCTGTTTTTGTAAATAAAAAACTTTCCTACAAATAGCATTGAAGCTCTGACAATGATGGAACAAAGAGGATACAATCAACTACTTGAGGATTTCCATCTGATATAACAACTTCTGATGCCTCCGTGACAGCTGCAATAAGCAAGCCCGCTAAGCCGTATCCTGATCCAAGTTCAATGACTCTTTTAGACCTGAATTAGTAGAAAAGCTACATTACAGGATTAGGATGCGCTTTTATTAGTTTTTCCGCAAAGCATAGTAATAGTAAGAAGGAATTAACTTCACAGTAGAGACAAAACTTAGTAACCTGAACAAGTCTAGCTGCGATAAACAATAATATGCAAGGACTTCCTCTGATGGCCAAGAACCTATTCAATGAGGAAGGTACAAAAACGTTATGGAACACAGAAAGTAAAGATAAAAACAATACATAACTTGAAGAAAGGAAGAAATGAACTGAATGCTTGAAGAAAAAGAAAAAGGAAATCAACAAATAACATGGATTTGAAGCAACTGATTTTTTTAGATAGATGCCATACTGTGTATTGCAATGCCCCAAGAAACACAGCTTCCATGAGATGGTGGAGTGGTTCCACACAGAAGAGAAAAGGGAACAAGAAGAGATGTCACACGAGTATAATACAATAGTTGGGGACAACGACTGAGCACTATAAGAAGCCAAGCCAGAATGTAATGAAACACAAATGAATGACACAATGTGCAGGATAAGCTGGCCGTAAAAACAAAGGCATAGTGAATTAGTGTGGGAGAAAGTCATTCTCCATAGCTCTTGAGGCTGGGAAGGCCACACAAGCCTCCACTAAGGAATACTCCAGAATAATATAGAGAAATCTACATTCTGCTAGCTCAATCTTATATCATGTAAAAGGTTCAAGATGCATGTAGAAGCAAGGAGAAATGTAGGACGATATAGAAGAATCCCATGATCTAGATTCTTCCTTGGAGGGGTGGACTGTGGAGCTCGAGATAGAAGGGGGAAGCCCCTGACTTTGTAATCATCCAAGAAACCATAAGTATTGGAATGTACTAATAAAGAGTTTCTTCCATCCCTTTGTGTGTTCGCCATATTAGTGTTCCCTTTAACGCTTTCTAAGCAAAATCAGGCATAATCGTTGTCAATAAGGCCAAATAGAGATTGGAAAAAGTAAGCATGTGACACAAGGCAGATCACCTCTTTATGCTTAGTTTTGGGTTGCACCATCTTATAATTGGTTTAGGATTGAAATCATGTTATTGTACTTTAATCCGTCATTTGGTCCCCACACCAACCAACTGTGCAAAATTATAACATGAATTTCGAAATGTGCAATAAGTGCAATGGATGTTAAGTTGGGGACCTTGGATTTTTGGTTGTTACGTGAATTTTTGGTTGTTATGTGCAATAACTTTGATGAGTGAATCAAATATGTGCGGTAAGTGCAAAGAAATACCAATTAGCACACAAAACGATAAGAAAAAATATCTTTGATCAGTTTTTATCCTTATCCTTCTGTTAAGTTGGGGACCTTGGGTTTTTGGTCTACATGTATTATTTTTGTATTAATATTGTTTAGGGTGTGAATACCCTAGTATTTGTTAGTATATACCTCTTATGGGAATTGATCTTTTGAGTATAAAGAAAACTTACAAACAAGGCCCGTGTTGTCAATGTCATATGTGTTACAGATCTTAAAATCATCAAGGTTTGCACAAGTGTCCACTCTCTGACTGCATCAAATTACATAAGTTAGCAATAATTTGGAAATCAAATTACAAAGAATCCAACGATTTAACCTCTTTTTAGCCATGCTTTACCAGTAAATGTACAAGAAGGAAGGCTCAGATTATGATGCCTATACAATAATTTGAAACTTACATTGATAAATGGAGGTTATCATGCAAATAATAGGGTAATACAAAGCTTGTCTAGAAACAGCTTATTTCCGATTACACAATAAACTAACAACATTAGTAGAATGAGTCAAACAAATCTTACTACAAAAAGAGCGGGGTAGCATTGTGATTGGGCAATGTATAGCACACACAAGCTTCTCTTGGCTTCAGTAACGAAGTAGGCTTCACTTGTTCAAGTTCAGGCTGACCGTTATCCACTAAATGGAAGGGTATCAAACTGAACCCTTGATTTGCCTTTCTAGAAATACTCTTGATACCCGTTTCAGATTGCTCATCTGCACAACGTTTTATAACAGATCATGATCATGAATTTTCTTTTCCATGTTACTGTTTACACAATGACTATCACCAAAATCCCAAATCACATCTCAATTTTCAACATTCCATCAGCGTAAACAATCATCAGTGTTTTGAGATTTTCAAATGCTTGAAAGTGGGCAATTCCATTATTTATCCCGACAGAAATACTGAAATGAAGCTAAACTGAATCAGAAAAGGATTCAACAATCAGCAATCAGATCATCCATAAATTACTAGGTCAAATTCGTAATCTACAATCAGAAATAGTCAAGGTGTAGGCCAAATTGATTATGAAAGTGTTGGATTACCTGAATTAGTGGAAGGAGTAGAAGGAATTAGGGCTTGACGAAGGATCCTCCACCTTAATGATGATGCCTTTCTACTGTTCTCCATGTACCCTGTATCCTTTTGGTTCTTTGTTTTCACTAATTCTGTTGTCTTAAACCACGACTATTTCTTTTCTCTTTTCTTTTTCTTTCCACCTTCGTCTAATTCTATTCCTGCCAAATAAAATAAAAAAAAAAAAATATATATATATATATATATATATAGGGTTGGGTTCACGTGAGACCAA